CCCCTGTCCCATGGAAATCATCCAGTCCGAGGCCCACCCTTCAACAGCAATGCAGCCAGGAGTTCACAAAGGGAAGCATTTCCTTTCCAAAGATTGCTAAGATGGTCTACCCTGTGACGCCAGGAATGCTAACAAAATTGCAAATGTATTCTTTTTTTTTTTTTTTTTTTGAGACGGAGTTTCGCTCTTGTTACCCAGGCTGGAGTGCAATGGCGCGATCTCGGCTCACTCACTGCAACCTCCGCCTCCTGGGCTCAGGCAATTCTCCTGCCTCAGCCTCCTAAGTAGCTGGGATTACAGGCACGCGCCACCACGCCCAGCTAGTTTTTTGTTTTTTTAGTAGAGACGGGGTTTCACTATGTTGACCAGGATGGTCTCGATCTCTCGACCTCATGATCCACCCGCCTTGGCCTCTCAAAGTGCTGGGATTACAGGCTTGAGCCACCGCGCCCAGCCGCAAATGTATTCTTATTTTTTCTCTTTTTTTTTTTTTTGAGTCAGAGTCTTACTTTGTCACACAGGTTAGAGTGCAGTGGTGCAATCTTGGCTCACTGCAACCTCCACCTCCCAGGTTCAAGCAATTCTCCTGCCTCAGCCTCCCAAGTAGCTGGGATTACAGGAGCCCACCACCATGCCCAGCTAATTTTTGTATTTTTAGTAGAGATGGGTTTCACCATGTTGGTTAGGCTGGTCTTGAACTCCTGACCTCAGGTGATCCGCCTGCTTTGGCCTCCCAAAATGCTAAGATTACAGGCATGAGCCACCACACTCAGCCTGTTTTTTCTCTTCTTCTTCTTCTTTTTTTTTTGAGACAGGATCTCAATCTGTCACCCACACTGAAGTGAAGTGCAGTAGCACAATCACGACTCACTACAGCCTCGAACTCCTTGGCTCAAGCAATCCTCTGGCCTCAGCCTCCCATGCACCACCATGCTCAGCTAACTTTTTAAATTTTCTGTAGAGACAGGGTCTCACTGTGTTACCTAGGCTGGTCTTGAACTCCTGTACTCAAGCAAGCTTCCCATCTTGGCCTCTCAAAGTGCTAGGATTACAGATGTGAGTCCCTGCACCTGGCCACAAGTGTAGTTTTAAATCACACATTCAATAGCTCCCCATTGGGTGACCAAGTAAGAGTGCTTTTCTTTTCTTTCAGTCAACAACTATTTTTCTAGCACCTCCCACATACCCTTGTGTACTATCCTATCCACTGGGGAGAAAATGGTCAATAAGACCATTCCCAGAGCATATGAGGGAAAGAAACAAAACCACGACAGATGAGCATGCCACACTGTTCCATGTCACATTAAAGGCTGTGGCAAAAGCATGTGAGAAATTAGGAGTAAAATAATGGCAGTAGGGACCTTCTCTGGGAGGGTTGATCAGGGAAGGCCTCTTGGAAGGTATGAGCTCAATGGCAAAGGAGCCTGCTCAGCAACCTTGAAGAGGTGCCCACGTAGCCTCATGGCTATTTCTGCATAGGTTTCTAGATGTGAGGCTGCCTGTCTGGGGAGAGGGGCGGGGTGGGAGGTGGTTACATTTCCCGAAGGAATCCAGAGATGCTTGAGTTCTGGGCACTGGAACGTCAGTCCTAGGCTTCAGTCTAGGGACTGTGTGAATGGCTGAGGACCTGGAATCACCCCTCGTCTGTCTGTGGGGAGGGGATTTTTTTTCAGGCACTGCTCTGAAGTATGGTAGAAAGCACAGACATGCTTGGGGGCTCAGCTCTACCTGTCCCGGGCCCTCTTTTAGGTCTCAACTCTAGGCTTGATGGATGTGGTCCCTTAAGAGAATGAAAATGGGTGGTGACTAGCAGAAAAAGGAAGTTCCTAGCAGAAAAAGGAAGAGATCCTGGAGTTCCTGTCTTCAAACACGCACCTCTTTGGTTGTGATGGTGAAGTGAGACAGTGCTGTCTCTTGGACATGCCGTAGAGGGAGTCTTGGAGGTGTAGCAGGGTTACACCCACTCCCACCATCCTGCCTACACAGTGGTTTTGGGGGCACAGATATTTCAGAAAGTAGTCTTCCCAAGAACCCTACACCAAGTGTAGTACCACCCCTTCCCATACTTGATTCTGGTCCCCTCTTTATTTTTCTCATAGTATTTACTGGACCCGACGTATTAGTATTTGTTTGTTTGCTGCCATATCTCTGGCACTTAGAGCAGTAACTGGCACATACTAGGCACCCGGTGTGTAATTCATTTGATTAATGAATGTATTGAATGGCTGAATGGCTGAATGAAGAGGAGGAGCAGAGCAGATGTCTGACCAGCTCATTCTGGCTTGTGGAAGGATCCTGATTGGGAATTTTGCATCTTTCCCTCCCCACAGTCTTCCAGTAATTACTAAAGAATAGAGACACTGATTCCCACATTCTTTTTTTTTCTTTTTTAATGGAGTCTTGCTCTGTCACCCAGGCTGGAGTGCAGTAGTGCGATCTCAGCTCACTGCAACCTCCACCTCATGGGTTCAAGTGATTCTCCTGCCTCAACCTCCCAAGTAGCTGGGATTACAGGTGTGCACCACCACATCCGGGTAATTTTTGTGTTTTTTATTACAGACGGGCTTTCACCATGTTGGCCAAGCTGGTCTCGAACTCCTGATCACAGATAATCTGTTCACCTCAGCCTCCCAAAGATCCCCACATTCTTAACTAATGTGTTTGGTGTGTTTGAATTGGCATTTGCATCTTAAGAAGGGGAAACTTTTTAGTGGGGATGTCTGTAGTTATTGCAAAGACCTTTCCCTGCCTGCTGGGCATTTACCAGATCTTTCTTCCTACACAACGGAGAGCCTCCCCTGGTTCAATCCTGCTATAAATCTCAAGAGTGACCCGTAAACGGGGTCCCAATGTGACCTGCTCATTAACACAAAACCATCAGCCCCCATACAGCTTCCTGCCTCCCCAGTCAGGTTGAGGCAAGAAGTTTCCATTCTGCTCATGCTGATGAAACCAGTCACCAGCATTTACCTTTTAAGGGGTCCTTTCTCCTCCCACCCCAGCCCACCCCAGCACAAGAATGTAGGAGAGGGCAAACAGCTGCCTGGCTTCAGTGCTGTGGCCACTCAAGGATTGGCTTGCATCTGTCCACCGGGATAGAGAGCATCCAGAGGGGGTTGGTGTGTGTGTGCGAGTGTGCACCCACGTGTGTATGAGGGAATTCAATTTCATGTACCACACATCTGGAAGTCAGAGAAAGAAGCCACTGCACATGTTAGAGCCATTTTGGGGGGCAATTTTAAAAACACGCTTTTAATGGGCTGAGAGTCTGGTGGAAAGCTGAGGGCAGGGGCGGGGGTCGAGGGGCGGAGTGGAAACAGCTGCGGGAGAGATTCCTGACTCCATATATGTTTATTAGGCACCGAGGGCGGGATTCGCAGCTCCTGGGAAGTCTGGCCCTAGTTGCCGTGTCAGCCTGTCCTTGAGGCAGTCAAAGCCACAGTGACCATCGGCAGGGACCAACGCCTGTCTTTGGCTCAGAAAACAATGTAGCCTGGGCTGAAACTAGGACCTGCAGGGCCAGAGAGATTTCACTGGAGCCTGATGGAAGGGTGACAGGTGAGAGGCACTGGCGTGAGGGACAAGTGTCACAGGTGGGGAAGAAGAACTCTGCTACCTGGCGGTGGAAATGTGTGAGGATCAAAGTCCCCTGGGAGAGTAGGTGTTGCAGGCCGCAGGGTGGTGGGCTGGGCATGGGCTGGGCAGGAGGCTGCGGGGCGCAGGGAGAAGGCTGGAGAAGCTGGAGGCCCGGGGCAGCCCTAGCTTTGCAATCCCGGGAAGGACTGGTAGGTGGAGTTAAGGATATTTGGACAAGGAAACGCTTTGAAGCTTTTCTCTCGTCCTCCCTACCCGGGACCTGGTCCCCTCCCATCCATAAAACCATTAGCTCCTGGTGCCAGCCCTATCTCTGCTCCATCTCTCTTGGTTCCAGTCGGTGCATTCACATACCTCCCGCCCTGGGGGACGAGGAGGATTTATGGGGGGAGGGGGGAGGAGGAGGGGCATCCTTCAGAGGAGGGGAGGTCTGAGGAGAGTCGGGTGCGGGAGCTGCTAGTCCCGGGCTGGAGGCCGGCTCATTTCCGAGCTGGCTCTGCATGACAAAGGGGAAGGAGCAAGTTTCTTCTTTGATCTGTCCCCTGCCGGCCCCACACACCTGCCTGTTGGTGCCCCCGCCCCAGCTGAGACTTCGAAAAGGAAAACCCAAAGGGGGTGGGGGAAAGGCTGTGTCTCAGCTCTCCTGGACCCTGCTCGGGCCACCTCCCTCTCCTGGTGGTCCCAGCACAAAAATACTTCCTGGGCTGATGACCCGAAGCACCTGCCGCCCCCTCCCGGAAAGCCTGGGGACGCCGACGCGCGAGAGTGGCGAAGTGAGCCGGGGCGCGCGGGGCCGCGCGCATCAGGTCCGGGGCCTCAGGGGCCCCGGGGAGGCCGCTGGAGGCGCGGGTCACGCCCAGATGGAGGCCCGGGAGGACTGCGGGGGAGCCGCAGGGGGCGTGTGTCTGTAGGCGTAGGCTCGCTCTGGGGTCCAGCAGCACGGATCTGCCGTGGGTCTGAGGGGCTGGGGATTGGGGTTCTTGGGGAAGGATAGAGGCACAGGCTGAGTTAGAGCAGGCAGGAGGCCAAGAGGTGGCACACCTGGGAGCTACCAGGGAAGGGCTGTGGCTTCTGGAAGATGCGTCCTCAGCTCAGGCGTTTGATGCCAGAACTGCCGCCTGGCGCTGGCAGTGTCCCTGGCTCAGCTGCTGGGCAAGATGCTCAGTGCCGCCCTCGAGGGTCACGGTGGCAGGAGGGGCAGGAGCCGCCTAGGGAGGCACCACCTCAGCCACCAAAGCTTTCCAGGCCGGCGGTTTGCGATGTGACTTTTACGTTTCTCGAAGAAGGTGCCTTGAGAAAGTGAAAAGTCCTTGATCTGTAAACAAGGGTTGGGATTCGGAAAACTTGCTGAGGGTGAGAAGGGCACAGATGGAGAGGGGAGACTCCGCTTTGGGCGCAGGTAAATTCAATTCACCATTTTTTAATTTCACAAAGGAGAGCCTGATGGTCAGAGGAGTAAGTCTCTGGGCTGGAGTGAGAGGCAGGGAGGGGCTGGACTGGGTAGGGTGGGCCTCAGTTCTGTGGATGTTCGGCAGCACGCGCAGGTGTGCTTTGCCCCAGACAGAGTGGCCTCCCGGATACCCAACGGAGGAACCGCGCAAGCTCCGTTCTGGAAATGACTTGTTTTCGTTTTTCTTTCTGGTTTCTCAGCTCATTATTTCTTTGGGAATTAGGTCCTGCGCAGGGTTCCCACAGTTTGGGGTAAGAGACAGAAGCCCTAGGGTGGGAAGATGAGCGGCGGGAGTTGGAGGCTGGAGAGAGGCTGGAAAAGAGGCTGGAAAGAGTGTGTAAGCATCAGTGCACTTTTCTCCACCTCACCCCTGGCTCCTGGTCTGCCCTTATTCGCTGAGTTTCCACACCGACTCTCTCTTTATTTCTGTTTTCTCCAGGGAGCCCTACTCTGGAAGCTGTCAGTCCCAGGGCACTGGGGAGGGCTGAGGCCAACCATGCCCAGCCTGCTGCTGCTCTTCACGGCTGCTCTGCTGTCCAGCTGGGTTCACCTTCTGATAGAAGCCAACTCCTGGTGGTGAGTAAGAGGGGCTGAGGTCCTGCCTGCACAGCCTGAGGTCTTCAACGACTGAGATGAGAAGGAAGGGCACCGTATGTCACCATTATGCCTTGATTCCTAGGAATACTAAGGGCCTCTTTTATCCCAGGAAAACTAAGAACGCTCTGTGTCTCTCTCAAGAACCCTTACAAAGGTAAGGGTTTCTTGAGGTTAAAGGACACATTCGTTTTTTTTGTTTTGTTTTGTTTTTTTTTTTTTTTTTTGTCTAATCTTGTCCACATTCCCTTTTCCTTGGACCTTGCCTCATGCCCATGAATTGTTAGAAATTGCTATTGGGTCAACAAGAATATCAGTCAGTACCTGGTAGTTTTTTGTTCCCTGGTTTTGTGTGTTTTGCTGGTAGGAGACAGAATTCCTCTTTTCTAAGTCTGAAGAGCAGGTGAGGGGTTCACAGCACCCTGGGTGGCTTTCTTCTTGTGTTTTAAAGGCTATTGTCGTTGCCAAGCTGACATGGAAATGGCAGGCGATCACTACCTATTTTGCGTGGTCTCTGCCACTGGCATTTTTACTCAGATGGCAAATCTGCAGCCTTCTCATCTAATGCTCTGTGTGACTGGTAGATGAGAGCAAAAGGCAGAGCCTCTGAACTGGTGAAGAGTGGATGAGGGGATGCTCGAAGTGAGACATGGCAGTGAAAACATGGAGAATAGATTGTGATGTATGGAAAGCGATTGGATTTTAAAGGCACGAGGAAGCTTCGCAGAAAGGAATTGATTGCTTTCCGTGGTGTATCGTGCACTTGGGCTGCCCTGGACTAGTCACTCCCACTCCTTGAATGAGGCTTGTGCTCTCCCATTGAGGTTTGGCTCTTTTTGCTCTCTACCTAAAATGAAGAGCTGCACCCCCACCCCTTGTCTTCTTATCTGTGTGCTCCCCGATTCTTAAGAGTCAGTTCAAACTCTGGCCATCTCCTTATAAAGGCTTCTCTTCAGCCATAAGAGCTATTTTCCTATCTGATCACAGCAGATCCAGAAGCTCCAGTCTGTCTGAGGCATTTGGCAGTCTCGCATGCCTCAGTTTCCTTCATTTGTCCTTTGAAGGCCAGCACTCTGATTTACTAATTTTTCTTTCCAACACCTTGTACACAGGGAAGCAGTCAATGAATGTGTTGAATGAATGACTTCATGCTGCACACAGGCGTATGCTCACTCCTGGGCCTGTTTTCCCCTTTCTGGATTGCTGTTGTAGGTCATTAGCTATGAACCCGGTGCAGAGACCCGAGATGTTTATCATCGGTGCCCAGCCTGTGTGCAGCCAGCTTCCTGGGCTCTCCCCTGGCCAGAGGAAGCTGTGCCAATTGTACCAGGAGCACATGGCCTACATAGGGGAGGGAGCCAAGACGGGCATCAAGGAATGCCAGCACCAGTTCCGGCAGCGACGGTGGAACTGCAGCACAGTGGACAACGCGTCTGTCTTTGGGAGAGTCATGCAGATAGGTAAGAGGGCTGGGCTAAGGACCTGCACTCATCTTGTCTGGGAGCAGTTAAGCTCCCTCAGGACTGGCACAGGGAGAGCCCAGATGGGGCCTAATGGAGTTCTCTCTAGGCTTGGCAGCGGTGTGCACTGAGAGAGGCCCTCGAGGCAGCGGGCTCTGGGAGACTACAGTAACCACAGCTTGGCGTTCCCTAGTCCTTTGCCTTCCAGCTTCAGCGGGGACAGGCTGCTTGGGACTTGCCCTGAGAGGGGGCAGAATACCTGAGTTGACCTGGAGGGATTAGGAGGCCCGCCCACCGCCACTGCCTTTGTCTCTCAGCGCAAAGAAGAGCCTTGGGTAGAGAACGAGAAATTGCAGCCCTGAGTGTCTGCAGGATCTTTGCCTCTTCCACTTGAACCTTCCAAAGAGGGATAGAAATATCGGGCCAAACTGGTGATAGCCGTCACAACCCTAACCCCATCCAGTCCCAGCTTCTTCATTTAAAAGGGACGTGTGAACGTGGGGGAAGGGGTCAGACGAAAGACAAAGATGAGAGGGAGAGGGCCAAGTCTTCCTGGACTCCTGTCCCTTCCCCTCTCCCACTGCTGGCCAAGGATTCTTGGGCTACCCAATTGCTTAACTGGAGGTGTGATGTGAGGTCTAATTGTTTTGCGTCCTTTTGAAATGCAATCCTCCCCTCTCTGGCGAGAAATTGAGAAATCCGGCCCTATTCTACTGGGTCTTATCCCCAGGGCCATAAAAGGGAAGTGTTAGAACGCTGTGTTCCTCCAGCCTGACATTCTCCCAGAACACCTCCCTTCAAAAGGTTACCTGAGGCTGGAGTCTCCCCAGAGAGGGATTTTAGCCTGGCAGGGGAGTTGGGGAGGTGGAGATTTCCTGCTCCTCTCTTACGGAGAATACTTGGAAGGCTCCTTCCCCCTCCCACTTATTCCAGACATCTTTCCCTACCCTCTCTGTCCCATATTGAGAAGTAGGACCCCAGGCAGTGGCTCACGCCTGTAATCCCAGCACCTTGGGAGGCTGAGGCAGGAGGATTCCTTGAGGCCAGGAGTTCAAGACCAGCCTGGGCAACATAGTGAGACCCCTGTCTCTATAAAAAATTTTTTTTAAAAAAGGGAGAGGGAATTAAAGATGGGGAAAGTACATGTTGAACCTTGCTGCTCTCTTGCTTCCTTCAGTAGTAACTCAGGATATATAAAAGGAAGGTCCTGGTGTTTCTGGGACAGTCTTATGGGGCTGCTTTCCCAAAAGAGTGGACTTGGGTGCTTAGTGTGATTCATTCAGTTTATTGATTCTTCTCAAATCTACTTGGTATTTGCCCTGGCGAAAGTCTTGGCAGCACTCCCCGCCCTGTGTTTTGGGCAAGGAAACTAGGAAGCCTCGGTGCAGGGTGTTCTCGAATCTCTTGAGTGGGGTTCATGTTTATTGGGGACCTAATGCAGGCCTGCTATTGGCTAGATCCTCTTCATGTGTGTTTCATGTGCATAAAGGCCTCAGAGTGAGGCTGTACTTTAGGAAAGAAAGGGGTTGGCAGGAAAAGACACCGTGCTGGGTTCGGGGGTGCCCTAGGTGCCCAGAGAAAGCACACCCTGCCGAAGAGAGCCCATCTCTCTGTGCCCTATTCTGTTACAAAATGGAACCTTTCTGTTTGCCTCATTTTCCTCCTTCCTTTTTATAGCTGCCCTGAAGGCTCATGCTACCTAGTACGCTATCCTCTCTTCCTCCCCACTGGGCCCAGAGTAGCTCCTGGTGAGTCCTTGCCCTATGTTGAGAATGACTTTCTAAGGCTTCCTTTTGCCTTGGAAGCTGTAGCAAAAGTCAGTCACCAGAGGGCGGCAGAGCCCCTCGGAGGAGCCTCCGAGTCGCCCCAGCCTCTGCCTAGGGAGCTTGGAGACACCTTGGGCTGCTGTGGAAGAGAGAGGGCATGAAATTGCTCTGCTGTCTCCTGTGGGGGAAAGGCGCATGTCCCTCTAGTAGCTCCATGGCTGCTTTGTTTTTAGCCATTTATTCTTGAGATGGTTAAACGGTTGCATGTATAGATAAAACACCACATTGCATATCCATCCTGAAGCCCTGAATTATTCCTTTCTTGCCAAGGGTAGCAACAGTAGAGGGTACTCACTGGGCTTACCCAAGGGCCCAAAGGCTGCCCCGTGGAGGCAGAGCTACCCACACCCAGCTTCTGATGGAGACCCAACTGAGAGAGGCAGGCAGTGCAGCGGAGGACAAATTGGGATCCCAGAGAGTAAGGATAGGTTAGAGCCATCAGAGTGTGCACCAGGTCTGGTGTGTTAGTTCAGCTGCAGGTACCTCGTTTTAGAAGGCAATTCTGAGAGGGCTGATTCAACTCTGAAAAATATGTTTGCTAAAGAATGATAGAAATAAATCAGACATATGTAGCTTGGAAAAGTGAAAATGTAAAAGGCGTATTAGTTGTTTTCAAACACTGAAGAGCTGTCAAATGGGAACAGGATTATAGCACAGTGCAACCGCAGCAGGCAGAAATCACAGGAGGCATATTTCAGCTTAATACAAGAAGGAGCATTCTGGTGATTAGAGTCATTACAAAAAGATGGATTGGGTTGTCTTGAAAATCCAGCCTGCTTCTCTGAGGAACTCTGCAGAAGGAAAGCTCCTGGTGGATATGGAGGCTAGCTCAAGGTTGAAGCTCGGGAGGCTCCCTCCTGTTCCAGGATGCCACGTCAGGCAGTTGAGGCTGCATTTTCAGGAGATGAGTTCCTCAAAGTGGGGCCCAGACCCTCCTGCCTAAGAACCTCTTTGGCCATCTTACCATCATCCCCAGTGCTCCTTGTCGCATTCTGAGCCCCCTAGACCAGGTCTTATTGGCTGAATCGTGAGTGTAACTTCCTGCCGCCATTTCCGTTTTTCTTGGGCTGTTCTTATTTCACAACTGACCAAAAGCCAGCCACTGGTTAACAGAGAAAAACAAACTCACTCAGCATGGTCTGCTTGTAAACTTCACTGTGTCATGCCCAGATAATCAAGAAGTAGGGCAAAGGGGGAGATTTTTCTAGGCCTATTGATTGATTTCAGATTGCTTCCCTCTCTACCTTCCAAGACAGAACTGTGGGACTCTACCTGGTTTAATCTCTGAGATCAGGATTGAATCTGTCTCCTGCCAAGAATCACTCCCTTCTGTCCATTTCTAAGTCCCTATGAATATCATTTATTATTTCTTATAACAGCTTTATTGAGATATGTCATTCACATATCATGAAATTCACCATTTTAAAGTGCACACTTCAGTGGCTTTTAGCACAGTCACAGGTTTTGCAACTATCACCATGATCTAATTCCATAACATTTTCACCACTCCATAGTGGGATTTTCACCACTACATACCCGTGAGCTGCCCAACTCTCCACACCCCAACCCGCAACGCCAGGCAACCACTGTTCTTTCTGTCTCTGTGGATTTCCCTCTACTGGGCATTTCTTATAAATTGATTATATAATATGTGACCTTAGGCGACTGGGTCCTTTTACTTAGCATAATGATTTAAAGGTTCATCTGTGTTGTAGTCATATATATACATATACATATATATACATATATATATACACTATATATACATATATATGTATACATATATACATATATGCATATATATACATATATACATATATATGCATATATATACATATGTATATACATATATATACGCATATGTATATACATATATATGCATATATATATACGGTTTTTTTTTTTTTTTTTTTTTTTTGAGGCAGGGTCTCACTCTGTTGTCCAGGCTGGAGTGGTGCAATGATAGGTCATTGCAGCCTCCAACTCCTGTGCTTAAGCAATTCTCCCACCTCAGCCTCCTGAGTAGCTGGGACTACACGCATATGCCACCATATCAGCTGATTTTTTTTTTTTTTTTTTTTTTTTTTTTTTTTGAGACGGAGTTTCACTCTCGTTGCTCAGGCTGGAGTGCAATGGTGCAATGCTCGGTTCACTGTAACCTATGCCTCCTGGGTTCAAATGATTCTTCTGTCTCAGCCTCCCAAGTATCTAGGATTACAGGAGCCCACTACCACACCTGGCTAGTTTTTATATTTTTAGTAGAGACAGGTTTCACCATGTTGACCAGGCTGCTCTTGAACTCCTGACCTCGGGTGGTCTGCCCACCTCAGCCTCCCAAAGTGCTAGGATTACAGGCATGAATCACCATGCCTGGCCTAATTTTTTTTTTAATGCTTTTTTAGAGATGGGGTACTGCTGTGTTGCCAGGCTGTTCTGAAACTCCTAACTTCAAGTGATCCTCCTGCTTTGGTCTCCCAAATTGCTGGGATTACAGGTGTGAGTCACCATGACCAGTCAATACCACATTTTGATTACCCATTTACCCATTGATGGACAGTTTGGTTGTGTCCATTTTTTGCCTATTATTAATAATGCTGCCGGAAGCATTCATGTGTAAGTTTCTATGTGGACATGTGTTTTCACTGCTCTTGGGTATAGAGGCATACATCTGAGCCAGCACAGCTTTGGCTCCAGTGTACCGCAATAAAGTGAATATTGCAAGAAAGTGAATGTTTTGGTTTTCCAGCACATGTAAAAGTTATGTTCACACTATCCTGTAGTCTATCAAGTACGTAACAGCAGTCCATCTTTTAAAAAGATATATATCTTAATTAAAAATTAAGATATTGCTAAAAAATGCTAACACAGAAACACAAGGTAGGTACATGCTATTGGAAAAGTCACAGTGATGGCTGTGTAGCAGGATTGCCACAAACCTTCAATCTGTAAAAATAACACAACACCTGCACAGCACAAGAAAGCTGAGCACAGCAAAACGAGGAGCTTTGCCTATGTTCTTAGCAGTGGACTTGCTGGGTCTTATGGGGACTCTACGTTTAACCTTTTGACTGTTAGCCTTAGAATCCCAGGCTGTTTTCCAAAGGAGCAGCACTGCTTACCTCTCCCACCGACAATAGGGGAGCGTTCTGGTTTTTCTGTATTCTCTCCAACTTGTTACTGGATGTCTTTTGAGGATAGCCATCCTGGTGGATGTGATTTGGGCTTACATTTCCCTGATAGCTGAGTATTGTGAAACAGACATTTTATTGCGCTAGAACATATATTATATGAATTTTTAGGTAGTTTGCCGCAGCAGTAAAGGGGACCATAGTTGGGGTTTTCTACTGGAAAATGATCTGGGTATTTGGAGGGACCGTGATGAGGGCCTGGAATTGTCGGTGCTGTAGATGTGATTCCCAGTGCTCCTGAGTTAGGAGGCAATGTGGACCCCTATGGAAGAGAGAGGCAGACAGCTTGGGTTTTTTGGACACTGTAATTCTAGTTCGCTTTCGACTCCTGGCCTCTGCCACTGTCTGGCCAGATAATGGCAGCAATACAGACAGACAGACGTGTGGCTCAGAGAGCGGTGAGAAGTGGCATCTATGCGGCAGAAGTTCCTGCTAGGATACAAAGTCCTGTCATTGATCCCACGATTTCTTCCTCAGCCTCATTCCGTGTGTTTCCGATGCGCATTCTCCCCTCCGCTGAGGTCTCTCTCCTGGGAATCTACAGGTCAGGCAGGCTCTTCTGCAGTGGGTATTAGTGCAGGCCGAGGCCGAGGGACTTCTTGTATTCTGTGTGGTTTCAGAGGGCAGAGCTAGGGCCAAGAGGCGGAAGTAAAACTGAGCCGATTTCAGCCCATTATAAAGACGTTTTCAAGCATCCGAGTTCTGGGAAGTGAAAAGTGCTCCTCCTGATCTCCTGCCCCAGGAGTGTCAGCGGAGGCTGTGGTGTGCAGGTCAGTCGGGGGCGATGGGGAGCAGGACAGGTCTCTGGGAGAGGAGCGTGCACCCCCTTACTGCCCCTGCCTCCTCTTGCAGGTAGTCGAGAGACCGCCTTCACCTACGCGGTGAGCGCCGCGGGCGTCGTCAACGCCATCAGCCGCGCCTGCCGCGAGGGCGAGCTCTCCACCTGTGGCTGCAGCAGGACCGCGCGGCCCAAGGACCTGCCCCGGGACTGGCTGTGGGGCGGTTGTGGGGACAATGTGGAGTACGGCTACCGCTTCGCCAAGGAGTTCGTGGACGCCCGGGAGCGAGAGAAGAACTTTGCTAAGGGATCGGAGGAGCAGGGCCGCGTGCTTATGAACCTGCAGAACAACGAGGCGGGTCGCAGGGTAAGCTGGGCCTCCCCGCACTGCAGACCCACGGGGCCGCTCCCCGGCGCTGCCACCCGCCCTGGGCCTGGCCATGAGGGAAGCAGGCTTGTCTGACCGTGAAGATTCTTCCCTACAATTGCAAATTTAGATGTCCACATTATTGAACAAATCCTTTTCAGAATGCCCCACTTCCCAATGGGCACACGTGCTTTTTTTTTTTTTTTTTTTTTTTTTTACACTTTATTATTCCACAGTCCCTAGAGGGCTTAGCTGCAATGTTGAGATCCGAATTCCAGACATAGGATTAGAGCAGAACTCTTATCTTGGCCACCCCTGCTTTGCCACTTGAACAGATAAGGCGATTGGATGTTTACGCGATTAGATCTTATCTGGGGTTTATGGTGTGTTAAGGGCTCAGGTAAAACCAGAGTTGACTTTTAAGAACTGCTATCACAGAAACCCAGTCATCCAGAAACCCAGGCAAAAAACAGTTCAAGTACTAATGACAAACACCTTCTGTGCTGGGAGTTTTTAAACCTAAGCAGAAGTTCGAGAAGACAGCCATCTGTTTAAGGCTTGAGCAGCCTCCCCAGCCTCATGTAAGATGTGACCACCTTTTCAGCCTGTTTCAGTAGGGACAACAATACAGTCTGAGGGGAGCTTGGTTCATTGTACGTGCAGAGCACACCTGAGCAGCAGCGTCACGGTCCTCAGGTGGTGTACTGGAGAGCGTGGCTCCTCTCTGTCTGCATCTGGTTCCAGAGATCCGGCCTCCTGTTTTCTTTGCTACCCCCACATCATGGCTGCCTCTGCCACACCAGACTGGATGGCCTGCCTGCAGGAAGCTCTGCCTTTCGCTGCTTCTGCATAGCCAGTGTCGACAGGGACCGAGGGCAGCATGGGTGTGCACTGGGTTTCCCCTGAGAAAGGGCTGAGATCTGAGCGCTGGGTGCTGAGAGGCTCTTTCTGGAAAAAGACCTCTTGGGAAATAGCACGGACTTCTTTCTCTGAGGGTTGTCCCCACTGGGGTCTATGTCAAGCTAGCTGTAGGTCACAGGTGAGGTATCATAACAAAGATGAACTCACTGAAAAATGAGAATGGCGGCCAGTGCAGTGGCTCACACCTGTAATCCCAGCACTTTGGGAGGCTGAGGCAGGAGGATCACCTGAGGCCAGGAGTTGGAGACCAGGCTGGCCAACATGGTGAAACCCCATCCCTACTAAAAATACAAAAATTAGCCAGGCATGGTGGCACACGCCTATAATCCCCAATACTTGGGAGGCTGAGGCAAGAGAATAGCTTGAACCTGGGAGGTGGAGGTTGCAGTGAGCTGAGATTGCGCCATTGCACTCCAGCCTGGCCAACAGCGAGACTCTGTCTCAAAAAAAAAAAAAAAAAAAAAAAAAAAAAGTGAACTTACGGATTGGAGCACATATCAAAGAAATGGGATAGGAAGTGTCTTTTGTCTGAAAGGGGATTTTGTAGTATTGGCTGGGTAGAATGTGGTGCACCTGTGTGCATAGCATCATCAGGCATGGGACATCAGGTAGAGACCAGAGTGGGTTATTTGCCCAGGGTCTTTCTTACACTTCCCCTCTCCAAAGGCTGCTTTTGTTTCGCAGAAAAGTGTGTGTGTAATGTGGTGTCAGTCTTCGGTGATATGAGAAGTTCTGGTAGTTGCTAATCTCTGTGGGCTAACCTGGGGCAGAGGGGCTGGAGCCGTCTCAGGTGACTTCTGCTCAGACCGGGTGTGGAGCCACCCAGTCCTCTCAGGCATCCTGTCTCCCAGTCCATTTGCCCACGCCTTTGGGGGTCTGAGCCTGAGGAGCAGAGACGTCAGCGAAGGGGTTAAGGTCCGCACTTGATCTCTGGAATGCCCGAAGTGGATCCAGTTGTTGAGGTCCTGGTTGCAACACTGCCCGCCCCAGTCCCCACAGTTAGTCATCTCTCTCCCACCTGAACTTCGCTCGGGCGTTCATGCTCTCCATAGGTATGCCCCGCTCTACCTTTGCCTTGGCAGGTTGGCGGTAGGTTCCTGCGGGCAGGGATCGCCCTCTCTACCTCTTTGTTTTAACCTTCCGTGTACTGTATTGGGTGGAGCATGTGCATACGCAGACAGGAGCCCTCGGGAGAGGTCAGATTGACCGAGGTGCTTGTGGCTCTGCTGAGCTGTGCTGTGGTGTCCGTAGGTGCCTTTGACCAGGCAGGTGACACCCACTCTTCCCCTTTCCCCTGCTGCTCGGTCCATCTCACTTTATTGCCCTTAATTGTTCATTTGCTTGTCCAGGCTCTTATCTGGCAGCCTTCCCTCCCATTGGGCTTGTTCCTGGCTTGCACACCTTCCCTGTCTCCCGCCTAGCCTCTTCCTCCAGGACCCACACCTCTCCTCTTCCTTAACTCCTTAGCTCTCTCTTTGCCTGTGTCTGCTCCAGGCTGGGATTTCCTGGACCTCTCTCTCTCTCTCTCTCTTTTTTTTTTTTTTTTTTTGTATTTTTAGTAGAGATGGGGTTTCACCGAGTTAGACCATTTAGCCAGGATGGTCTCGATCTCCTGACCTCGTGATCTGCCCACCTCAGCCTCCCAAAGTGCTCCTGACCCCTGCCCTCTTTATTTTTTAATCCCCTCTCCAAGTAACAGGCCTCAGTCATCAGTCACCATCTGAGGCCGGAGGTACTCACTGCTTGCCTCCTCACACCTACATACTAGGCTCTCCAGCAGGACTGAGCGGTGGCTGGGATGGAAAATAGACAGGTATTTTAGAACCAGATTAAAAAGGAAAAAGGCTTATCCAGGATCCAATGTCTTGACACAGAGTAAATCTTAGGCTGCTTTGCCAGAAGTTTCTCTTGGCCCGCAAGAGCCTCTAGAAGCTTCTTCGTAGACAGTAACGGCAATGCCAGTGGTTGACGTTGTTTTACCACTCAAGGGTTTCTAAGCATTTTCCAGATAAAAGCCTGGTGCCTAATCCTGTAACATTCCTGTCTGTCAGTAGGCTTGGGAAGCCATTAGATGGAAGTGGAAGACGAGCTTAGAGGGGGCTTTTCCAGGGACAGATCGTGGAACCAGAACATTTTTTAGAGCATTTTTTCTTTCTTTTTGAGTTAGCAGTCTGGGCTGAAAATTGGCATTTCCCCCATCACCTACAAAAGGAGCTTATATATATTATCAATAGTTAACATATGAAAAGAATACAGACATTCCTATCTCTACAATGTCTTTGAATTAGGGGAAGTATGGGGGGGTTGTGTTTAAACGTGAGAGCACTGGTGTGCTTCCTCTCGGATTTGTTTTCCTAAAATTCTGATCCCTGGAGTCTTGCTCCCACTTTCCTTCCCCAACTCAGCCTGAGTGTTTGCCCTGCAAGAGAGGCTTATCCGGTGCCCCAGTGCTAAGCGGCAAGGTGCACAGTTTTCAACCCGTAATGTTTCCTCCTTTTAGCACTGCCAGATGCCTGCCATCCCTCTCTAAACCAAGGACCATTTCCAGAGGAATGTCAGGCTGCAGCTCAGACCCAGGGCATTTGGGCCAGAAGGGTAATTGTAGGTCCTGTCTTTGAAGTGTCTGTCGGAATGGGGTGTCAATTCCTTTATGTCTTGGGCCTGGAGCTGCCCGGCCAAGTGCTGGTGCTTTTAACCTTGGGAAGAGCCTTCCTTCCTCGTCTGCTCTAAGCTACCTTTAAGCCCTGAGATTGGAGTGGATAAGTGCTTGTTATTCTGACTCCCTTCTGGGTGGCCTTGGAGGTTAGTGAGCCTCTCTAGAGCCTCAGTTTCTCCACCATAAAATAGTGGGAATAATTCTCTGCCAGAAAAAACTCAAGAAGACTTTTGACAGCAGTCATAAGGCCTGATGACGACTGTGCTGTCTCTTGCACCTGCAGTGGTCTCTGCTTAGCTCTGAATAAAGACACAATCCGGGGGCTCTTGAAAAGAAATCTAAGAGAAACCCTTGAAAAATGAGTCCTGACTCAGTTGGTGACAATAGCCATGTATAAGAAAATGTTCTGCAGCCAGCTTGCGTTTTCTTCCTGCCATCTGCACGTCTGGGCCTGCCGCCAGATTTGGTTGCCATGGTGCATGAGTCTGCTGCCACTGAAAAGCACTTTGTAAGCAGCTTTCTGGTCTGCTCTTGCTTTGACGTTCTGATTTGGGATAACAACCCAAGTTCCAGTCCACTCCATGTTGTGGCGGTCCAGTGACTTCTGGGGTAGACCTGTTCAGGCGAACTGCTCCTTCGGGCAGGCCCAGCCTCTTGCCATTCCCTTCACCTGGCCTCACTTTCTTACTCCACTTCTCCCAAGGGGGCACCTCGGGGCTGCTAGGGAGGAAGAAAGTGGTCTTGCTTACAAATGGGATGGCTATGGCAAGACTGCTGATAACTCTGTGGAGTTAGTGACTGCATGGTAACATGGGCAAAGGGGCCATTTAATTCTCAGGGTATTTGACAGGATCAGGGAGAGTTTTGAGCTAATCAGGACTATGCCAGTGATTTCTGTGATACAACTGGATTCTTTTTTCTGACTTGTGCTCCTATGTATGCAAAAGCTGGACACGTGTTGTTGTTTTGTTTTGTCTTGCTCTGTTTCTAGCGATGGAGTCTTGCTCTCTTGCCCAGGCTGCAGTGCAGTGGCATGATCATAGCTTGCCTGGGCTCAAGTGATCCTCCTTCCTTGGCCTCCCCAGTAGCTGGGACTACAGGCATTAGCTATAGTGCCTGGCTGCCTTTTGTTGGCTTTTATTTATTTGTTTGAGACTTTTATCAAGATGGAGATAGCTTTGTTTTCTGATCGTGAAAACGATGCATTGACTGTAACAGGTTTTGAGGAATGAGAAACCGGTAAAGTAGAAAGTGAAAGGGTCTCAGTGCCGTCGTCCCGGCTCATAGGGACCAGTCGCCTTGCCTCCCTAGGGTTCTTTTCTGTGGTGCCCCTTTGTGTTTTTCGAGGATCCCTGGAAAGCTCTTTGCATGCATTTGAAAAGCTCTCTCCTGGCCGGGCGCGGTGGCTCAAGCCTGTAATCCCAGCACTTTGGGAGGCCGAGGCGGGTGGATCACGAGGTCAAGAGATCGAGACCATCCTGGTCAACATGGTGAAACCCCGTCTCTACTAAAAATACAAAAAATTAGCTGGGCATGGTGGCGCGTGCCTGTAATCCCAGCTACTCAGGAGGCTGAGGCAGGAGAATTGCCTGAACCCAGGAGGCGGAGGTTGCGGTGAGCCGAGATCGCGCCATTGCACTCCAGCCTGGGTAACAAGAGCGAAACTCCGTCTCAAAAAAAAAAAAAAAAAGAAAAGCTCTCTCCCCTACCCTACCTGCCCCTCCTGTGTACAAGCCTGTGGCTACCCCAGCCACCCTCTGGGCCTCTTCCGCGGGATCCTCCTTCTAACCCGCTTCTGTCCCCTCCCCCAGGCTGTGTATAAGATGGCAGACGTAGCCTGCAAATGCCACGGCGTCTCGGGGTCCTGCAGCCTCAAGACCTGCTGGCTGCAGCTGGCCGAGTTCCGCAAGGTGGGGGACCGGCTGAAGGAGAAGTACGACAGTGCGGCCGCCATGCGCATCACCCGCAAGGGCCGGCTGGAGCTGGTCAACAGCCGCTTCACCCAGCCCACTCCAGAGGACCTTGTGTACGTGGACCCCAGCCCTGACTACTGCCTGCGCAACGAGAGCACGGGCTCCCTGGGCACGCAGGGCCGCCTTTGCAACAAGACCTCAGAGGGCATGGACGGCTGTGAGCTCATGTGCTGCGGCCGAGGCTACAACCAGTTCAAAAGCGTGCAGGTGGAGCGCTGCCACTGCAAGTTCCACTGGTGCTGCTTCGTCAAGTGCAAGAAGTGCGCGGAGATCGTGGACCAGTACATCTGTAAATAGCCCGGGGGGCCTGCTCCCGGCCCCGCCCGCACTCTGCCTCACAAAGATCTATGTTATAAAAATCTGTATAAATCTATTTTATATTTGTGTAAATAAATGGATGGATGCTAAATAATGGAAAGATGCAAACAAAAAGGAAAGCTTATTTAAGACACGCTGGAGGTCTCTGAGGCGCGGACTTTGCTGGTTCTCCCCTCCTGGTGGGGTGAGTGGCGGGGCTTTGTCTCTGGCAAGGACTCGCAGGATGTAGGAACTTGGAAATATTTACTGTCTGTCCACTGTGGCCTAGAGGAGGGAGGTTGTGGTTGGATGGAGGAGATGATCGTGTCTGGAAGTCTGGAGTCTTTGTTGGTTAGATGACCGCCCATGACCCTGGCCACGAGACCAAGAGGCCCTGTGAAGGTGGCGGGGACTCAGCTTCAACCCCGATGTCTTCAGGGTCTTGCCCGGAATGTAGATTGGTCGCAGAAGAGGCCCTGTGCTCTCCTACTCTCCATTCACTTGCATATGTGCAGCATCTACAGTTACGGGAATGGCTCCTTCCCTAAGAAGAGGAGAAGTCCAATATCATCTCTGGCCCAGTGACCACCAAGAGCTCTACCACCTCCCGGACTTCGGGCCCACCTTCCAGCGAAACTTCTTCACCTTGCACGGTTGACTAGCTGCTGCCACAAGTTCCCCACCCGAGGAGGGAAGGGGCCCATTTGACCTGACGTGTCAGGAAAGCCCTGAACCGAATGTTTGTGCCTGGGCTGCAGAAGCCTGGGGGCATGACCGGGTTGCATGGACACTGTGCTGTCCTGCCCGCCAGCAAGGGGAAGCTTAAGCTGCCGCTGTCACTCCTCCACCCGAGGGAGGCCTGGCAACCCCAGGCCGCAGCAATGGGTCAGGCTGGCGGCCGGCGCGCTCGTCATCTCTGCCCCAGGTGTACAGTTTCTCTCTGACATTAAAGGCCCTTCACGGAGGTTTCGCTCCCTTTCCTTATTTGGACCCGTGCTCGTCTTTCATGAGTCTCCTTTTATTTTTTATTTGATCGTTAGAACTCTGCAGTGTGGAAGAGGGTAAGGAAATTGTGACTCCTTAGACTGTATAGTCTGGCGATTAGGGAGAGGGACAGAAGAATGTTATGAGAATTAAATAAGGTGATGCATTTAGGCATTCACCCCAAGGGCTAGCACACACTTAAATACTCCAGAAGTGGTAGCTGTTAATATTACCACTATGAACAAGGGAATTCAGAGATTTTTTTTTTTTTTTTTTTTTGAGATGGAGTTTTGCTTTTGTTGCCCAGGCTGGAGTACAATGGCGTGATCTCAGCTCACCACAACCTCCACCTCCCGGGTTCAGGCAATTCTCCTGCCTCAGCCTCTCGACTAGCTGGGATTACAGGCATGTGCCACCACGCCAGTCTTATTTTGTATTTTTAGTAGAGACAGGATTTCTCCATGTTGGTCAGGCTGGTCTTGAACTCCCAGCCTCAGGTGATCTGCCTGCCTCAGCCTCCCAAAGTGCTGGTATTACAGGTGTGAGCCATGGCCAAGGAAATTCAGAGATTTAAGTTGAAACCTCACATTTACCTCCACCTTTCCCTTCTCCCATTTAATAGCCTACCAAGCAAACGCTGGCTTGTTCCCTGGTCCCTGGTAAAGCCCGGGCAATGGGGATGCCCTTTGCTGTCTCCTCTGTGTTGCTCTCTGTAGTTTTGGACCTCAGTATCTGGGGCCTGGAGAGTAAGGCTTGGGGTTTCAGAAAGGGAGATATTCTTATCCTAAAAAGGGAGGAAGGAGTGATTGAGACAGAGACACTGAGCCAGGCTGCTCTACAGTAACCAGCCTGCAGGTAAGTGGTAATTACAGAAAGACTTCAGTTTTATTCTAGAGAACTTTACTTCTGGAGAAATAATAAAATTAATGAGTTAACTTGGGTTATAATGAGAAAACGATATTGCAAAACTGCTTAAAAGAGATTCTGCCTGAGGACATTTATGGCCATACATACTACTGGTCTCTTTAGTACCTAAAGGAGAGTGTTCTGACCCAACCAAGAATCTCAGACCTAGAGTTATTTTACCAGCAGCTAACTCAACACTGCTACTTAGATTCCTTTGGTTGACACTTTCAAAGTGACATTTCATTTCTGTGAAAGAAAATGATTGAAGTTATAGCCAGGTGTAGCGGCTCATGACTGTAATCCCAGCACTTTGGGAGGCTGAGGTGGGTGGATCACTGGAGGTCAGGAGTTTGAGACCAGCCTGGCCATCTGTACTAAAAATACAAAAAATAACTAGAACTGGTGGTGCATGCCTGTAATCCCAGATACCTGGGAGGCTGAGGCAAGAGAATTGTTTGAACCTGGGAGAGAGACAGAAGTGGTAGAGAGCAGAGATCACGCCACTGCACTCCAGCCTGGGCGACAGAGTGAGACCCTGTCTTGGAAAAAAAAAACCCAAAAAGATTGAAGTTAATTGATCTACAAAAGATGAACACCATGTCCTTGTCTTCATTCGTCGACATTTTAACCATTTTAACCACCTTTAACCAGAACTATCTATGGTTAAAGGTGCAGAGATCAACCATGAAAATAGGGTTTTGAAACAGGCTAACTTGACTGTTCCCCACATCAGTTCTAGAGGTTGGGGAAATTACTTTGTATCCGGCGCTCAAACTATTGAAGAGTTGAAATCTAATCTATCAGAAGCCCCCAGAAATTAGCTGAGAATGATTGCCCACACCCCCCAAAATCACTTTCATGTTCACGGAGGGAGATGGATAATCCTTATCAGAGTGAGATTTTCCTGCAGAGTCCCGGCAAGTGGTGGAGTAAACCAATTTTCTTTCTGATGTGGGAGCAAGTTGTGTTCAAATACCCGTGTGGTTATTGCATCCACCGACCTATTTTTCTAAGTAGGTTGGAATACAGTTAGAGTTACTTGTCACTTGCCTGTTGAACCCTGCTGGACTGACAGCGGTCTGTGAAGTAACCAGTGGTGCTACAGGAATGTGGGTGGAGAATGTAGAAACCAACCTGAGAAACCCACGTGGGCTTCTGCGCGGAAACATAGAATGCTGGGGCAGGAAGGGAACGGGACAGTTACAACTCAAGTTCCTGGGGCTCCAGATAAAGGATGGGACTCGCCATCCTTTGAGGTGAGAAACAAAACTTGCTATTTGTATTGAAACCTCAAATTGGCCGTGCTTCCTCTCTTTAATCATTACTGTCTTATTTAAGATAAGATAGTAATGGTTGCTAAACTCTGTCATCCCCTGGAGTTTTAGATAAGATCCAGATAAGGACCTCCAGATCCTGAGCAGGTCCCACACCTTAGTGTGCTTGTAAAAAGGCAGAATCCTGCGTCCCCAACACCAGGAATTTGTATTCAGCTGCTCTGGGGCAGAGCCTGGGACCTGCAGGGATCCGATCCTGTTGGCTCAAAGGCTACACTGGACTGGGATACCGAGAGCTAAGACCTGCCGGGAGTCAGGGAGCCTGGTCCTGATTCTCAGCCCAGTGCTCTTTGCAGCCCCAGGCAGGGTTCCCTAGTATCCAAAATGTGTTATAATCTACACGTAGTCTAACCAGATCATTGCATTGGGTGTAATGCCTGGACCAAAGAGTTCTCGCCATCCCGGGGAACCTTTCTGGTGAGTAGGAAAGAGCTTTCTGCCCCAGAGCAGAACTGTGTTCCACCTCCCTCCTCCACCTAGGATGGGTAAGGGCCTACTGATCCAATTCCTGAATGTCTAAAATAAGGCAATATGTTCTTCGCTATTTGTCTTCGCCTTGACTTCAAGATAAAATTAAGAGAAAGGTAAGCCTGACTGCCTCCATTTAATAAAAAGACAGGATGGACAACGAGAGAATGGGAGGATTGGAAGGCAGTCACAGGTGTGGTTCAGGTTGGGGCAGGCCTCCATTCATCCGAGCATCGTGGACAAAGTCTCCAGAACTTGAGCTCCAAGGCCTTACTTGGAAAGACCAGTTTGTTCTCTTCCACTCTCCATCCTTTGAGGTAAGAAACAAAACTTACTGTTTGTATTGAAACCTCAAATTGGCTATTGCCTCGAAATTGTGCCATGCTTCCTGGCTTTAATCGTTAGTATCTTATTTAAGTTCCATCATCCCCTGGGGTTTTAGGAGCTAGCAAGATGTCCTGTCGTGATGACTGCTCTGTGAGATAGAAATCTTGCAGATGCAGCAGTTTATCAGACAAGCCTATTCCTTGGGCAGACGGCCACACCACCCTGAGCGCGTGGGGAGAATAGTGCTTCCATCTTAAAACAGGCTCTGCTGCATTGCCAGACACCACTGACACTGGGCGCATGGATTCTGGGAGAACCTCAGTGTGTGTGTGTGTGTGTGTGTTTGCGCTCATGTACTTATGCCCACAGGAATGAATGTTTTTCATTAATTTAGAGGTGGAGGCGGAGACGCACCAGAGGCATGGAGTATGTAAAAAATTAAAAACAACTCAACACTTCTGGCTGAGGCGTTGCAGAGCATGGGTTGTCTATCTTTATTGGAAATGTTTGTCCTCTGCCTGGCTGGTGATGACAGGCTTCATATCTCTAGAAGGAATGTTGGGGAGCTGAGAAGGGCTGTGAGCCATGGTTGCTAAGTGTTACTCTTAGTTCTTTATTATGTAAGAATCTCTGCATTGTGTTTATACTAAAACAGTAAGTAAAGGGTGCTTTAATTCTGGTTTTACATAAGAAGCATGGGAGTTTGCCCGTTTTTCTCTGAAGTAAGAAGATTTGGGCCCAGCATGGAGGATCGGACATCAGGCAGTGTGGACGACTGAATCCCATCCACAGGTAATTTTCTAGCCTGTTGGAGAATTTGGGCATGCCTCACGTAGATTTTTCCTTCCTCGCTTCCTCCCCCTTGCTGCAGGCCTCCTGGTCTTCACGCTGCTCATCTGCAGCCCTACCAGAAGCAGCAGCAGCAGCAGCAGAGCCAAATCAGTTCATTGAGGCCTCCTAAGTCGTTTTGATAAACAACTGGGTGGGAGGAGGGGTGGTTCAAGTGAGATGTTAAGAATTACAGACGCATGTGTATTATTTGAAGCTCCACAGGAGA